CTGTCTCACTTAAGTTTCGCACTTAGTGGTACTCGTCAGGAGGGATATATCTGTTATCTCCCCACTGAGCTCTGAGCCTGCATTATCCAGAGATACAGTCATAGACACTAACACTGAGGTATTCAGGCCGCTTTTGATCTAAGATAGCCCTGTAACATATACACTGACTGCTATGGAAGTAACGATAGTTGTATGTCTAGTCCGTGGGGTTGATGCTTATTGAATTCTATCAGTCCAGTTGGTATCTTCAGAGTACAAGTAAAGTGATTCATTCAATCGCCTATTGGTTGTAAATTTTATTGTAATAAAGAATCTTTTGAATAACGCTTGGTTTCGCTGAATCTATTGCTATCGAACGACTGAAATCCAAGCTGTGTAGATCGAAAGAAACTGTAATTAATCTGAGCTTACTGTGGTAACAATTATCCTACAAGAATAGATAATTATCTATTCTGGTTTCCACTATTATCATTATTATTATTACTATTATTTTCTCAACCCACTTATTTTAAATGAATTGGTTTCAATTCAATTCGAAAACGCCTTCTTGTATAATGTTGCCTGGGTATACGTTGGACCGACAAAACGACTTTAGAAGGTCTGGACAAGGGAAGCCTAAAAGAAGTAACCCTTTCGCACTTATCTAGGCAACGTTGTTTCAACTAAAAGTGGGACAGATGAGGATGTCGAAGGCAGACTATCATTAGTCTGATATCAGTGCAGAAATCTTTTGCGCTCAGAATAAAAAAAACAAGATTAGGATTTTCAACATAAATATCACATCAGTACTTCTGTGTGGTTCAGAGACCTGATGCGAGCATCATGGAAAGCACTTTCAACAGGATGCAGACTTTCACCAGTAGCTGTCTTCTTTGCATACTGAAAATTAAATGATCAGAGAGGTTAGGCAATAAGGCACTCTGCCAACGAACTAAACAGAAACCTACTGTCCAACAAATATATAGAAGGAAGTGAAGATGGCCCGAAGATATGCTGAAGAGATCGATGAATGATATCACTGGCCAGGTTATCAAGTGAAATCCTGATGGTAAACGACGTGTTGAGCTTGGCTCCAAGGGTGATATGAAGGGGATCGTGTATAGTGGGAATGAAAGCTCGTAAACAGTCTTGGAGACAAGAGGGAACAGACTGCAATAGAGGTGTGATACTGAAGCCCAGAGTAATAATGATAATAATAATATCCCATAATATTGCACTGAAGCTGAGAAGGCAGCAGGCAAAAGTGACCTGAGGACATTATATCAGATAACCAAGTCTCTATCCGGGAAGAGATCAACACAAGTGAAACATATAAAAGACAGTCAAAGTAACCCAATTACCAAAGAAGAAAGATAGATTAAACAATGAGAGGACCACTTCAAAGGACTCTTGAACCGACCACCACCTGCAACCCGTCCAGAAATATCAACAACAACACGTGCACAACTGCAAGTTGACACCGATCCTCCAACGAAAACTGAAGTCTTGAATGCAATCAAGCTTCTGAAAGCTGGAAAAGCAGCTAGACCAGATGGAATACCCCCGGAAGCACTGAAAGCGGACCCAGAAACGACAGCAGATATGCTGACCCCATTATTGCAAAAGATCTGGAAAGAGGGAAAAGTGCTTACTGACTGGAGGAAAGGTTACCTCGTGAAACTTCCAAAGAAGGGCGACCTAGGACTCTGCAAGAACTGGCGAGGAATCATGCTCCTGTCGACGCCAAGTAAAATCCTGAGTCGCATCATCCTGGAGAGAATAACAGACAAACCGGATACAGAACTCCGACCAGAACAAGCTGGATTCAGGAAAGGCAAATCATGTTCTGACCAAATTGCAACTCTACGCATCATCATCCCAGAACAAAGCATGGAATGGCAATCAAATCTCTACCTCAACTTTATAGACTTTGAGAAGGCCTTCGACAGCGTCGACCGCGAAGTAATTTGGAAACTACTCGAGTACTACGGCGTACCCCAAATATTCATCAACCTTATTCAACAGCTGTACGACAACGGCACATGTCAAAGAATATTTCCAACAGCCTGTTGCAGACATTTATCAACAACTGTCTTCGTTTTATACTGAAGATCAGATGGCTGGAAAGAATCACAAACAAGAAGCTATGGGAACAAACAAAACAAGAATCAATCGCCCAACAAATATGCAGGAGAAAGTGGAGATGGATTGGACACTCGCTGAGGAGGCCGCTGGGTGACATCGCGCGTCAGGCTGTCGCTCGAGTGGAACCCGAAAGGGAAGCGGCGAGTGGGACGTCGAAGGGTGACATGGAGGAGATCATGTGAAGAAGAGCTGAAACAGTATGGACTAACATGGATGCAGGTGTAAAGTACAGCAGATGACAGAAGCAAGTGGAGGCGTGCAGTTGAAGCCCTATGTTCCACTAGGAACCTAAGGGAACAATAATAATAATAATAATTTCTTCTTCAGAACTTGATATATTCAAATTGTCTCCTTTTGTGTTAATTATGATGTTAATGTCATCGAAATACACTATTTGCTGTTTCGCAGAACCATTATCATCATGCTCATTTTATGTTTCCAATGGTTCTCTGACTGATGTCAGCTCATGATGGAATCCTGTAACCAATCAATCAAATCCCTACTAACCAATATTTGAATATCAATGAGATGCTCACTAGTGACTGGTCATATTCAGGTAAGTACTTACCCGGATTCTAGTTGGAATTGGTGACCAGTGGGGTCCATCCTGCCATGGATGATATTGGCTAGTGGTCACGCTATGTTGTGATTTGGCAGAAGTTGGAATTCACGGACCGTCGGATTGCGTCCAAGTGGATTAATGGCTTACGAGATTGCCTTGTAATCTGTGTTCAAAACTGGCGGTGGATGCGTACTGACGAAGAGTCCCAAACACTGACGAAACAGCCGTTCAGTAGTCCCAGCTGGTTTTCCAGTGGTTATGTAACCTTTATCAGCTCATGATGGGAAACATACATTGAGCTTGTATACTTACTTCATTACTTACGTTCGAAGTCGGACGTAAGGCTGGTAGTGGTATTGTTGGAAAGAGTTATTCACCTAACCTACCCTCTTTTCTGGGCTTACTGCATACTAGGCTAAGTTTAAGTGTTATTTGGTGGATGGTGACTAGCAGTGGAATCCAGGATACCGCGCATTTCATCCTATTTGGGAATCGTTGGTATCTGGATGTACTTGTACTCCGCAGTAAGTGATGATGTTCTCACCGAGGCTCGAGCCCAGTGCCCATAGTCTCAAATCCCAAATAGGACGAAATGCGCGTTATCCTGGATTCCACTGCTAGTCACCATCCCCAGTTAACTTCTAATTACATGCCCAGACATCGTCGAAGCATCTGTACAAGAAGCCAACAGACATGTCAACCTGAGACCGAGCACTTCAGTCCAATCAATCGACGGGAAAATCTAAAATTGAATTAAGTTTAAGTGTGTTTCGAGTGGGGATTGGACCGTAATCTCCTGCATAATTAGGGAACATTCTATCACTGAACTGACGACGCTTGTATGCCTAATGTGATGATTATTTTCGAAGTATTTTATCGCGATTCTTTCAAGCTTATTAAAAAATTAAAATTTTTAAGAATCTAAATATAGATGTATATATTTAAGTATTGTTCACCGTTAACAAAATGAAATATTTTTCTTTTACTACTGTTTACTTATAAGTAGCAAGAGTTTTTAATTTAAACTTTATTATTTTCGATGTTACCGAGCATGTAAAATAGGATCAGTTAGTCGTTGTTATAAATCCCAGACACATTTACTGAAGTTAAAGATACTTTCTTATTTGAGACGTGAAATCTAGACAAATACCAGAATGATTTAATTAAATTTTAAGATTTTGCTGTCGATTGATTGGACCGAAGTGCTCGGTCTCAGGTTGATATGTCTGTCGGCTTCTTGTGCAGATGCTTCGACGATGTCTGGACATGTAATTAGAAGTTAATTGGTGGAACATCAGTTAGAACGTCATCACTGACTCACTGTGGAATGCAGGTACATTCAGATGATGAGTCCCAAATAGGACGAAATGCGCGTTATCCTGGATTCCACTGCTAGTCACCATCCACCAATTAACTTTTAATTACATGCCCAGAAATCGTCGAAGCATCTGTACAGGAATTCGACAGACATGTCAACCTGAAACCGAGCACTTCGGTTCAATCAGTCGACGGGAAAATCTAAAATTCAATTAAATAATCCCAGTGTGTGTTTAGGAAAAAATCAAAACAAGATTTTTCTGAACGTCTCGTTGTGTAAGGGACAGATTCTCCAGCAGAAAAAGGAATATATACAACAGTTTACTAATGAAGTGGGATCGAATGAGGGAACCTGGAACCTTTTCAATTTTCTTGTGAACAGATTAACTGACAGAAAACTGAAGTTCACGATATACAGGGAACCGACACATTCAAACAAATATTTGAATTTCCAATCAGATCATCTAACAGAAATGAAAGTTTCAGCAGATTTAAATCTCGTTAACAGAGCTAGAAACATTATAACAGATAATGATGATACGGAGAACGAGATCTCCAATATCAAACAAATTTGGATTGGAAATGGTTATCTAAGAAAGCTGCTAAATGATATCATCAATAAAATGGGCCAGTAGAGAAAAAGGAAAATTGAAAAATCTCAGCTTTCAACAACTGCCATTCCATATCGAAAGGAGACAGTTGAACAACTTCAAAGACTACTTGCTTCATATAACATTAAAGTCTACTTCAAGCCCTATAATCCCCTAGAGAAATCTCTGGTGATTATCCTAAGGACACAGTTGTTTTGTGTCATTTTGGTAACCATAACTTTCACGAAAAATACACATTTATTCACAAGTAAAAACACAGTTTTTGTTCAGCGAAGAAATTTCTTTTCAACGACTTCATTTTCAAGCTGTACAGTCGTATTTATATTACAGAAAAGGTCATTAAGTGGCACTAAATAATTGCTCAGTCAATATACATATATTTGATAAGAATAACGATTATTAAAATGTTATAAGGGGTGGAGTTGAAGTGGATAAATTACAAAATTATTAAAGATTGTTTTATAAGTGAATTGAAAAATGTTTTAAAAAGGTCAAGTGTTGTCTAAAAAAATTTTATAAAATAAAAGTACGATTACGATAAGAATGAAGATGTGAAGTGAAGTGGAAAGAATTCAAGTGGTAAAATAAAATAAAGTAAAAACTAGAAAGAACATTACTATGACCAAGGTAAAGAAAGGGGTTTGACAAAACGTTTTTGAACACATAATTTAGGTTTCTGTTCATGTATAGCTAAAGCTTCGGATATGCATAAGTGAAGAAAACGTAAACTTTTGGATCGATTCGATTTTGCCATGTAGATAACTTTGAAAGATGAATCACGTGGGGCTAAATGACCTGACTCTAACAGGTGATCACAGATAGACGACTTCGCGGTTCTACGTTCGCCTTTCATTAACCAGACTGGATAGTGTTCAGCTACACGTTTTCGGAGATTACGCTTACAACGTCCAATATAAACCGCTCCACAAGAGCAGGTAAAAGAGTAAATACACATGGATGTGGACAAAAGCGGTAATCTATCCTTGACGCATTGTCTAATCATATTTCGGCTGGTAAAAACTAGTTGTAAGTCAGCTGCAGGAAAAGTACGTTTAATACATTTGGATAAACGATTTTTAATCAATTCCGAAATGGTGTCACCTTTGAATGCCAGACTCATAAAAAGTTTTTTCTTCGGCACTGTAATTTGTCTGGGGGCCTGTTCTTTCTTGATGTTACGTTCGATAAACCTTGTAGGATAACCATTATTAAGGAGATTTGATCGAAGCTTATCTAGTTCACTATCGATTGTCTCTGCAGAGCAGATTTTACGAATTCTAGAGCATAAGGAATGAATAAGATTTCTCTTCCTCCCTAACGGTACCCAACTGTTGAAGTTAGTATACTGCCCAGTGAATGTTGGCTTTAGGTAAATCGACCTTAGCAACGTACCATTCTCTCTTCTATCTAGCTTTACATCAAGGAAGTGAAATGAGGAATTCGACTCTTCTTCGACCGTGAAAAGCAAAGATGGGTGAGAACCATTAAATATTCCAAGAAGTTCAGCAGTTGAAGAGTTTTCGTCACATACAATGAAAGAAGAAGAGTCGAATTCCTCATTTCACTTCCTTGATGTAAAGCTAGATAGAAGAGAGAATGGTACGTTGCTAAGGTTGATTTACCTAAAGCCAACATTCACTGGGCAGTATACTAACTTCAACAGTTGGGTACCGTTAGGGAGGAAGAGAAATCTTATTCATTCCTTATGCTCCAGAATTCGTAAAATCTGCTCTGCAGAGACAATCGATAGTGAACTAGATAAGCTTCGATCAAATCTCCTTAATAATGGTTATCCTACAAGGTTTATCGAACGTAACATCAAGAAAGAACAGGCCCCCAGACAAATTACAGTGCCGAAGAAAAAACTTTTTATGAGTCTGGCATTCAAAGGTGACACCATTTCGGAATTGATTAAAAATCGTTTATCTAAATGTATTAAACGTACTTTTCCTGCAGCTGACTTACAACTAGTTTTTACCAGCCGAAATATGATTAGACAATGCGTCAAGGATAGATTACCGCTTTTGTCCACATCCATGTGTATTTACTCTTTTACCTGCTCTTGTGGAGCGGTTTATATTGGACGTTGTAAGCGTAATCTCCGAAAACGTGTAGCTGAACACTATCCAGTCTGGTTAATGAAAGGCGAACGTAGAACCGCGAAGTCGTCTATCTGTGATCACCTGTTAGAGTCAGGTCATTTAGCCCCACGTGATTCATCTTTCAAAGTTATCTACATGGCAAAATCGAATCGATCCAAAAGTTTACGTTTTCTTCACTTATGCATATCCGAAGCTTTAGCTATACATGAACAGAAACCTAAATTATGTGTTCAAAAACGTTTTGTCAAACCCCTTTCTTTACCTTGGTCATAGTAATGCTCTTTCTAGTTTTTACTTTATTTTATTTTACCACTTGAATTCTTTCCACTTCACTTCACATCTTCATTCTTATCGTAATCGTACTTTTATTTTATAAAATTTTTTTAGACAACACTTGACCTTTTTAAAACATTTTTCAATTCACTTATAAAACAATCTTTAATAATTTTGTAATTTATCCACTTCAACTCCACCCCTTATAACATTTTAATAATCGTTATTCTTATCACATATATGTATATTAACTGAGCAATTATTTAGTGCCACTTAATGACCTTTTCTGTAATATAAATACGACTGTACAGCTTGAAAATGAAGTCGTTGAAAAGAAATTTCTTCGCTGAACAAAAACTGTGTTTTTACTTATGAACCATAACTTTGACAATCAGTATTCAGAATGTCTAGCTTGCTATATAGGGGATTGCAGTAGACAGGTGAAGGTCAGAGTGAATCAGCATAGACTATGCACGAAACTACAGGCGGAACTGACCAGGATATCAAAGCGAGAATCGGAAAAGCAAGACAAGCTTTCACTTCTCTCAAGTCTGTGTGGAGGTCAGCAGCACTCAGTATCAAAAATAAGATCCGGATTTTCAACTCCAATGTGAAGTCAGTCAGTGCTACTATACGGATCAGAGACTTGTACTGCGCGTCATAAAGAGCATCTCAAACAAACTACAGACCTTCATTAACAGTTGTCTTCGCTCAATACTCAAGATCAGATGGCCGGTCAGAAAAGATCAGCAACAGAGATCTCTGGCAATGAGCGAACCAACCCAGCAGGAACCGATTGTGCAACAAATAGGCAGGAAGAAATGGAGATGGATTGGCTGGCCATACTCTGAGGAAACCATCAAGTGACATCACTAGACAAGCCATTGCTCGAGTGGAACCCGAAAGGGAAGCGGCGAGTGGGTGACTTGGAGGAGGTCATGTGAAGAGGAGATGAAAACGTGTGGGCAGACTTGGAGTCAGGTGAAGACTCTAGCAGAGAACCGAACGCAATGGAGACGTCGCGGCTGAAGCCCTATGTTCCTGTAGGAATTAAAGGAAACAATAATAATTCAAATTATTCCAGGGAATTCGTAACATCTACGGTTTGGAAACTTATAATCGTTTCCAGTATTATTTCACTTGTTCTACTTGTCATTTTAAATCAAAAAATTTCTTTTTTGCAATTATAAATTCTATGTTGTTGAACCTCATACCTTGTTATGTAAAATTTTTATTCGCCTAATAATCTTATAATTTTACACCCCTTTCCAAGTTCGATACAACCTATGAATTGTTCTATGTATGACACTTGACATTTAACTATGATTATAATGACAAGCATTTTAATTGCATTTCATACTACTATTATTGTTTTATGTATTCGCACCTATTATAATAAAGGTTTTTTTGTATTTCCCAATGAATGAAAAACAAAACTATATTTAACTAAATTTTAGATTTTCCCGTCGATTGATTGAAACCGAAGTGCTTGGTCTCAGGTTGACATGTCTGTCGGCTTCTTGTGCAGATGCCTCGACGATGTCTAGGCATGTAATTAGAAGTTAATTGGTGGATGGTGACTAGCAGTGGAATCCAGGATAACGCGCATTTCGTCCTATTTGGGACTCGTTGGTATCCGGATCTACCTGCATTCCCCGGTGAGTCAGTGATTCTGTTCCTACCGAGGCTCAAACCCATTGCCCATAGTTTCAAACGCCAGCTGAAGCGTTATCCACCAGACCACTTGGGCCACGAGAACCTAGTTCGAATAATCTTCTGACCAAAGAGCATATAAATAAACCTAAAGAACTAGAGAAGAATGATGATATTATCATATGCCGTCCAGACAAAGGTGGAGGTGTTGTAGTCATGAATCGCCAAGATTATAATGATAAAATTTCAGTGATCCTTTCTGACTAAATGAAATTCACCAAATCCAATGGTGAAAAGAACAAGACATATCTAATTGAAAATCAACTGACTGATGTCTTAAAGAATATGAGGAATAAATCAGTAATCTCGTCAGATACATATGAGCGCATCCGACCAGTAGGCTCCATAATTCCACATGTGTATTGGCTACTGTAAATTCACAAGACAGGATTCCAATTCTCAATATGGCGGGTTCAACTTATCATGGAATTGCTTAGTGGCTAGCTGAAATACTGGAACCAGTTAGAAGGCAAGTGTCTTAGTTTTCCATTGATGATTTTAATGTCTCAGACAAAGTTATGTTCTTATTAGATATGACTTTGCTATTTACCAATGTACCTTTCATGGAAACTGTGTTGATAGACATAGTTTAGAAGTAGGTTTGCTGACAATCCACCTCAAAGAACTTTTATTGAGTTGCACGTTGAATGTTCAGTTCACCTTCAATAATGAGATTTTTAGACAGAGAGACGGCATTGCCATGGAATCACCATTTTGGGTCCTTTGCTGGCTGATTGTTTTATGGCAAAGCTTGAAAACTCTGAACTTGGTCAATCCGTCGGTCATTTCAACATTTATAGACGATAGGTAGACGACACTTTCATTATATGCAATAATAACGTAATTCTTGATGATGTCTTGTTTGCTTTCAACAACTGCCATCCTTCTTTACAATTAACCATAGAAAAGGAATCTGAACTAAGTATTCCGTTTCTTGATGTGTGCCTTAGTAGACGTAATGACGGATCTCTCAAAAGATCCATCCACCGGAAACGTATATGGAACGGACAACTAAATAAATTTTATAGTTCGATGCCTATCTCCAGGAAAAGGAACCTAATTCATTCGCTCTGCTTTAGGATAAGAAACATCTGTAGTTCTGATTGCGTTGACTCAGAACTTGACTTCCTAAAAGCCACGCTCGCAGAAAATGGTTACCCTAACGGATTTATTGACAGCAACATGAAAGATAAGCAGTCTAAACTGGTCACCGACTCAGTTACAAAGAAAACCCTACTCATGAACTTGGAATTCAAAGGTGATCAAGCTTCAGATATGCTCAAAAACCGTCTCTCTAAATCAGTCAGTAAGACGTTCTTTGCAGCAAAATTACAAATGACGTTCACCAGCCACAAGTTGTTCTCCATCTCTGTAAAAGATAAGCTCTCCCGTCTAACCACCTGCATATGCATCTGTCAGTTCACTTGCTGTTGTGGAGCAAGGTACATTGGCCGTAGCCAGTGGACGCTTTCCACACAGATACGAGAACATATTCCAGCTAGATGTTTATACAACGGAGAAAGGAAGAGTGTGCGAAGCTCTGTTCTAGAACACCTGATCCACTCCTGTCACTCTACCAAACCTGACCATGACTTTATGATCATCTATTGAAACCATGCTAACTGACTTTCCGTGTCTTCTTCGTTATCGAATCCTATCTTATTAAATTTCACACCAAGTTACGTAAAATTATATATTTGCCTACTGATCCTATAATTATGTACCACTTTTCCCACACCTATATATCCTATGAATTATTGTATATATGACATTAATTGTTTTGCTACTTGGTATTTAAATATGAATATAATGACAAGCATTTCAATTGCATTTCATACTACTACTATTATTATTTCATGTATTCACACCTTTGATCTAATCCCCTCACAGTTTGATAATAAATTCGTTGAAAAGAGTCTCTTAGCTGAATATCGTG